AGCACTGTGGGATTTCAGTTTAGTGGGAAACCTCTGAGTCTGCCACTGGTGAGTTCCAAAGGAAGGAAGAAGCAGGGGTGGTCCCATCTTGATCCTGCAATAAAGTTAGAATGGGAGAGCTCAAAGGAGAATCTCCTTTCCAACAAGAAGCGAGAGGAATGTTGGAATCCTCTCTTAATAAGTGTATGTGAATATCTTTGCATAGCTAATGAAATGGAAACAAAATTTACAAACAAGGAAGAAACTATTTTGAATTTGTACCTTGTAGGCATTTTCTTTTTCTTGGAGAGCTGAGATAATTTGAAGTTGGTCCTGCTACATGGTAGCTAATGCTGGAAGCTTGTATTGGTATGCTGTCCCTCAAAAAAAGACAGGTAAAGATGCGTATGTTTGGCACTTGTGCCTTAGTTGTTAGGTTCAGGTACTTAAGACAACCTAACTGTAGCTGCAAATGTACTTTGGGGACAGGAAGATAAAGAATTAATTTAGGCAGAGGGAAAATATGATCTCATCTATCTTCTTTAGGTTCACAGGGATCATGTACTTCAAATTCAAATGATAAAGAACAGTTGCAGCTTCGTGACCAAAACAAAGATGAGGATGAAGAGCCTCCTGAATACAGACATGCCAAAGTCAAAAGAAGGCAAGTCATTAAATTTAGACAGGCTTTTTTTCTGAGGCCCAGGTTCAGAAGCCTCCTGATTTATAGTAACTATTTGATTGAGATTATGTGGTTTTGTACTGAAGTTTTAACTCAGTCTTCCATCACTGCTTATCACTTTGCCGGGCAACAAGCAGTGGATATTTCTTCTCTTCTATTGCTTTATGAAAACAATGTATGGCCTTGATGAATGTACAAGGTGACGGTAATATTCTTGTGCCACTGAAGTATACAAGATTGATAAATTGGGTAAGACAACTTGCTTATCTAGGTCTAATTAGTGTAGACAATACAAGAATGATGGCAAATTATTTGTATTGTTTCACCAAATTGTATCCTGACAGTAAAATGCTCAGTGCTATGGCAGTCATAAAATAGCTAATCTCTGCCTTGTCACTGTCTCTTCTCTAAAAATTTATAACCCCAAAGATGATGAGATGACTTTTCCTGTGTAATGAATTTACAAACTCAAAAGGCGAAGAAATGGATGGAGTTATTCTACTAATGATGTAGCCTTGGTTTTGTTCTAATATTTTGCTGCTGCCATAGCATTAATAATAATAATACAGATAACATAATAGATGATGAAGGTGATTTGGAAATAGGGTGAACAAAAGCTATCTTCATCAGTTCTATGTAGGGCTTGATATTTAATATTTTAAGAGGTCTTTCAGAATAGTTGGAATATTATAACCCCAATAGAAGGACATACATCCCTAGAATTGGATTTTTAAAAAAAGTAGGTGCTCATGCATATGAATAGGCTGATGTTATCTGCCTTGCTTGGTTTCAGCAGTGTGTGGAGGTACTTACTGAAGCCCACATGTAAATGTTTTCAATTTGTGAATTTCTTAGTGGTATATCTGTGAAATAAAAGTGTTTTTTTACAGTAACTAACTTTGTTGTGTGGTTGGTTGTTTTTTTTTCCTAGCCATGAACTGGATGTGGATGAGAACCCAGTGGAAGATCCTGAGGAAACTTGCTCTGTTTTGGGTTTCAAGCGTGGCACAGGACAAAAGTAATTGCTTATGAGGAACTCAACGTTTATTCGTAGCAAGTCAGCTCTCTTGTTGTTATTCAAATAGACCATTCCTCTCCGTTCCCATTTTGTTAAACTTTTGAAGATGATTCCCAGAGTTAGTCTCTGCTCTTAATAAAACTGTCATCTTCTGGCTACAGAGAGAGCTGCAAAGTTAGAGAGATGAATTAAAGAGCAAGAAAAGTGTTTTGAAATCGAAGTGTGACTTGTAAGGTACTTGCAGTTGTGTGTTAAGTGGCGGATCATTTACATAAATTAGGGATGCTTAAAGGCTCTGACAATGAATGGTCATCTTGGTTTGTGGTCCAATGAGCTTAGATAGTAGTTTATAGCTGTTTCATATTGCAGTGGGGTTGCTTTGTACTAGTAAAATGCTGCTATACTAATCAAGTGTTGCCAGGGTATTGGCCATCGAAATTTCATTTTTGGTGGTATGACCTAAAGATAATGGTGGTCAGTGCTATAGAAGTAGCATCACAGGGCACAGATGGACTGTAGCTTAGGTCTAGTGCTTCTACAAAATGCAAGTTGTACAGTATATGTATATATATAAAGTTTCAGAGGAGTATGTTTTGTAGTTGACAATCTCTGTTCTACTTTATAAAAATTATTTAAGTGAATTGTCCATATTCAATTTTTTTCTTTTGATTTCATTTGCCAGAAGACACAAGTAGCTGTTTTGGAGGTTCTTTACAGCCACCAAAAAGATGTTTTATTCTACTAATCAAGATATTTTTTCATTTCCTATTCTTCAGACTGGCCTGGGAAATTGCTTCCAGCTACAGTTACACACTTATTTTAAAAAAAAAAATATCTAAAACCAATTTGAGTAAACATTTTCAAATAAAAGTATTTAAAAGTTTTCATGAAGGTACATTGTTTTGCAGCTGCATCCAGTGAAATATATTTTAAGAGTGGAGCAAATGTCTCGTAAAGAAATAAATTAGCCTAAATCATATTCTGTAGACACCAACATTCCAGATTGGAAATTAACCAGCTAAGTCCTTTCTCCCTACTCTTTCATTTCAGGTATGGTGGAATTCCAGATTTCACCCACCGAAGTGTGCAGTACTTGGAGAAGAAAGCAAAACTCAAGTCCAAATACTTGGATATGCGTAAAGCAAGGAAGAGCAAAAACACACACATCTTCTTTACAGAGGAATGTGAAACATCTTGCAAAAAAAATAAAACTGTGAAGAAGGTAGGTTTAATTGTTAGTGTTGCTGTAATTCATAAATTTATCTGCTCCTTTAGCTGTTGTTGAATTATGAAAATGAAAAAGAATTAGTTGCTCAGAGTAGATGGCATTTTTTAGGTGTCACTTCACTGCTCTTTTTTTTTTTTTTTTTTTTTTCCCCTTGCTTAGGTGAAGAGTAGTTAGGCTAGGGTGGATATGGAAAGGCATTGGTGGACTCTTGGCAATCCAGCAAGAGGAATGTGAGCTTAATGGCGAAGTTATGTGAAAGTCATTTCTAACGTCTGGGTGCATCATTCCTTTAGAGGTGTGTGTAGGTTTCTATAGTTACTAAAAGTGTCTCTGGTTTCAAAATACATTTGAGGGCATTTGTTAGTGCTGGCGTTTCAGTGGTGAGACAAAAACATTTGTATAGGTTAGTGTATTTTGTGCAACTCTTACTAATTTGAATTGTTTTTGCTTACACCTCTACCTACATTTATTACCACCTATAAGTTTATGCCTTTTTTTGTTAACTCAGAAATTTATAATGAGTAGAAAAACTTGTTCACTGTAGTTTTTTCGTAGTTGAATTTCTTTAAAACATGTTACCTCAGATTTTTAATGCTGTTTTGCCTTCTTCTGATGTGCTTTGCATTCCCTAACACCTGAGTGGAAAACACTGTTTTGTGGTTGTGACAGCACATGTTGTATTGAACTCCAGTCCCGTTGCTATATTTTTTGATCAAAGGCTTGACCGTTGCCATCTCTTATCTGAAGCCAGCATAGTTTGAGGGCAATTTTATTTATGTGTAGAAAAAAAAATTAAAAATTTCCTCAGACTTAAGGTAAGGACCTGCCCCAGGCCTAGTGCCATGCAAAGTAACGTGAAAGTGAGCAGCTGCCTATACCTGTGAAGAGTTTGAACTAACATCTGTATGTTGGTTAGGATGTAATGCTGAGTCTTCTACTGTGCAGCAGAACTTTTTAGCACATACTCCGTTTGGAGATGAGGCAACTAATGTATGAAATTAATTTTACCTGTTCATCCAAACGTGGAAGGCAGAGTATAGCTTCTTTGAAAGCCGATCAGAGACAGGTAGTTAATTAAAAAGTAGTAGTGTTGGTCACCTGTGCTGTGGCAAGTCTGCCTGTTTATATTTCAGGTATTGCCTGAGAATGATTTACTGATAATCAGTTGATTTTGTGGAGTTTCTCTTTTGTGTGTAGCTGGTATCTCGTTCCCAAAGACATCGTGATTCAAAGTGTTGTAAAAAGGGAGCAGAGTTAAGGACTTGCATACCCTCCTGCATGCTTTGACAGTGGATATTTTACTTTTTTCAAAATACGCATGGTGGGTGCTTTTGAACTCTAGTGCTTTTAAACTGTGCTATTGGTAGCTGGTTAACTGCACCATCTAATCGTCCGTGATGTTTGACAATTGCAGGTGGAAGAGTTCCTAAAGCGGGTTAATAAACCTGAGGAGGAAGCCACATCTGAGACCGTCTCCTGTCAGGGTAAAGCAGAGGCATTGTCTGCGAGCAGCGACTCAGAGGATCAGGAAGGTATTCCTGCCACACCAGCTGTGACGCTCAGTGCTGAAAACCAAAAGCCACCATCTTCCAGTGCGACTTTCGTGGAACCTGGAGGGGGTAGCCCTGAGGAGGAAGCACAGGACGCAGCAGCGAGTGGCTCCAATGGCAGGGATGACGAGAGGCAGGAGCATGGCCACGGGCGGCAGCTCGTCTCTCTGGATATCCCTGATTACCTCCAGGCAGAGACGGAGGACGTCAGCCAAGGTACATCAGTTTCCTATGAACTGGAAATGAATCGGCAGTGGACTTAATACTGCCTTCCCAAATTACAGCATTGTGTGGTATTTATTTACTCCGTTTATTCAAAGAGACTCGTTAGGTCCAAGGGTAATGAGACAGATTGAGAGCTGTGCCAGTGGAAGTAGTTTCTTCCTGGAGCGCCAGAATCCCAGGTCTTGTCTTTAATATTGGCAGCATTTATAGATAAACAGTCATTGTTGATCCTAGACATCATCTAACAGGTCTCCAAATCACACCCTTTTTCCCTGTAAGGATGAGGGTGGTTAACTTCAGGTAGGTGCACAGGCTGTCAGGTTTTGGGTTCTCAAATGCATGTTGCTGAGCTTTAGGAAGCATGTGTTGTTAAAATTATTTTCTAGGGGAAAAAAAAAGTCTATATTATGAACTTTTCTATTTAACACTGTAAACAAAGGATAACAAGCTTATTCGGGTTTCTACATATAATTTAATCCTTCCTACAGTAACTCAATTATGTTAAATTTCTACTGTAAAACTTGTCTAGATTGGTTCTTATTCCTTATTTATATATGGGCATTAAATTGGTCTCTGATCCACTTGTTTGCTCACTATGTAGAGTTTATTGCCATCAATTGAAGATGGTGGCTAGTCTGTTAACGCTCTTAAATAATTAGCGAAGCGTTATGATTTTAGAACTGTCACTGATACCTATCAGGTAACACTATTCCCTTGAAATATAGGATGCTCTTTTTTAATTTAGACCACTAATCTGCATAATCTGCCAAACAGTAATAAAGGACGTTTAGCCGTGTTGTTAAACATGAGCATCTTGTATCTTAACTCTCACCTACCTACTGATTACATTGCTAGCCTACAAGAACAGTGATTGTTAACTTTTGCAGTGTCTTCCAGCTGTAGATGAAAAAACTACTGCAAAGAAGAAGGAGAGAAAAAGGAGAAGAAGGAACAAAATTGCACTGAGAGCTATACCTGCCGAAATTTCTGCTGATCCAGAGCTGGTCAAGTACTGGGCGCAACGCTACCGGCTGTTCTCTCGTTTTGATGAGGGAATTAAACTAGACAGAGGTGTGTCTAGTACAAAGTGTGCTGACTTGATGGTATAAGATGTATCCAAACCTGTGGCCCTTCTCAGAGTTTTTTACTCATTTTCTCATAAGAGGAGCATTACGGAGTGTGCGTTTGCACCTCTGGATAAATAATATCCCCCAGCAGGCAGACAAACAGAAGTCTTGGACTTTAGTAGAGCTCCTAGCATGGGACACCCCTGTTGCATTTGTCCTGATGTTAGCCAAAGATCAAACTGTACCCAGGTTATGCTTGCTTAAGACTTTTTCAGAAACTCAATGACATTTTTCTGTATCTATATTTTATAAATTAATTTTGTGAAACTTCCAAATATGCTGATGGACCTAGTTTTGTTCTGCTGTGTTCTGACTTTCAGCAGTCACTTTCAAAATTACTTTTTTCCATGTTTACTTGGAAACCACTTCAACTAATAAATTTATAGGTAAAGGAGGAATTAAGATTACTGTATTTTTGTATCCTGGGTTTGTTGGGTTTATAAGCCTTTCACTTCTAATGCTCTCCCACATAAACACATAGATTATTTGGCAGACCAGACGTTGCTGTAAAGAAAATAACATGTCAGATAAGAGAGAATATGTTTCTGGTTTTATTTGTTACAGAGCATAATCGTGATGTATAAAGTTTTTTTGTAGCTGTGTCAGTGGACTTGTCCTTGATAAGCCAGAATCCTCAGCCTCAAGTTCAACAAAGCATTTACCGAGATTTGGGCTTATCTGTTCACTTCAGTGAGGCTTTGTTTGCTTAGCAAATCGCTGGGCTGACCAGAGTTTATCATCTTCAAAGCCTGTGTTTCCTGGTCGAATGTGTTGAGCCAAAACTGTTTGGATTAACGCTAAACTTTCATTTGTGTGTGGGGGTTGGTGGGTTGTTTTTAATTTAGGTGACCTTGCAATAAGAGGTGAAAACACGCTTCTTCCCTTTCCTTTGCAGAGGGTTGGTTTTCTGTTACTCCTGAGAAAATAGCTGAGCATATTGCTGTCCGCGTTAGCCAGTCATTCAACTGCGATGTCGTAGTGGATGCCTTCTGCGGGGTTGGAGGAAACGCTATTCAGTTTGCGTTGACCTCCAAAAGAGGTAAGCAGGTGTTGTATATAGTATATTATTTCATTTTTTCAGTCTTTTTCCCTAAAAATTTAGGTATGCGCTTTATTTGCCGATTATTTGATTTTTTTTGTCAGTGCTTCTGAAGCAACAGAAGCTTTTTTCCTTCATCACACTCACAAGATGAGCTTTCTGTTTTAAAAAGGGCCTATAAAACCACTTTTCTATTTTAAGTCAAAGTTGGATTTGTGTCGTACTAGTCAAAGTTATTTTTACATGGCATAGTAACTAGTCTGTCAGATGCTCTGAAGATTGCTGGTAAAGGTTGAGTTCTGTTTGTAATGCTGACCTGCAGACACGCCGCCACAAAGCTGCTGCTTTTCCCAATTGTTACGCCAAGTCTGTGCACTCAAAAGCAGGTCACGTGCAAGTAGTACTTAAAACAGTTGCATGGGATCACCTGCAGGTGCAGCAGAACCAAATACAGAAAAGTGATGATAACTTAATATTAGTGTAGGTTCCTGTTGCCAGCTAATGAAACTGCAGCGAGTCATGAAAGTGCTGTCTCTAAAAACATTGACTACTTCGTATTCCTCTACTTGTCAAAAACACTGGTAAAATATCAGCTCATGTAACACTTCTGAGTAATTTCTGAGCAAGACAAGTGGTGGTTTCTACTGCGTTAAATTTAGTAGGCTATGATCCATTCTATAAGTATTTTCCAAATTTCACTTAAATTTACCCCAAAAATACAAAAAGTTTTATTTCTGTGATTATATACTGCCCTTGTATCATCTCTCTTGTGCTGTTGGGTGTGGTTTTTTAAACTCAATTTTCATAGATTCATAGATTCATAGATTT